TTTACTGATCGATCAGACACAGACACGGTTTGGTTATCAATCACACTCACTCTCTCTTTGCCTCTCTCTCTCTCTCTCTCTCTCTCTCTCTCTCCCTCCCTCTCTCTCTCTCTCTCTCTCTCTCTCTCTCTCCCTCTCTCTCTCTCTCTCTCTCTCTCTCTCTCTCTCTCTCTCACACACACACACACACACACACACACACACACACACACACACGTACAGAGAGACTCACAGAAAGCAATAGAAAGAACAGACCACTCCAGAGCGCCCGCCAACCGCTCATTACAATTTTAATAGTAGCAAGTAAGCCTATTGCCCATATGTTAAATTTCAAATTATGCACCACCTTGTCTGCAACCCACGCGACGCCACTGACTACCGGTTGTTTATTTAAGAAAAATCAAGTAGTATTTGGTCCCAACACTTATAACTTCACCTTTTGTACAGAAATATATAAGATTACGCTGTGCATTAAAAAAATTATCAGTTTTTTGTCTTTCTTACAAAATTTGCCTTTCTGTATGCAGTCGGTTTGTGAATAACACCGAAAATATAAATAATATATTTACAATATTTTATATATATATATATATATATATATATATATATATATATATATATATATATATATATATATAATACAGAGAGAAAGAGAGAGAGAGAGAGAGAGAGAGAGAGAGAGAGAGAGAGAGAGAGAGAGAGAGAGAGAGAGAGAGAGAAAGAGAGAGAGGGGGTGGGGATCTCGTGGCCTAGTGGTAAAGTGTTCGCTTCTCATTCAACAGGCCCCGGGTTTGAATTCGGATGGCGAGGGAAATTTTTCTTTGCTAAAAAGGTCTCCTTTCACCTCCTTTCCTGCTTCTGACAATGTTATGTCGTGTGTGCTTCGTCTCAATTTTCTGCTTCCACCCCTTCACCTCCTTTGCCCCCTCCTCTGGGCCCCTGCCCCGTCCTGCAGCCTTTCTACTGCTTCTCCTTGGCTCCTTCTTACTGCTGTTTTTCAGCCATATCCCTCATCTTGTGGTAGGTAAGATCTACACTTAGCCTTCTCGGACGAGTGCGAAAAATCTTGGAGATCCAGAGTGCAAGTTGGGCTCGTTAAAGCTCTCTTAGTGGTCCAAAAAGCGATAAGAGTAGGCTTCGGCCGCCACAACTGTAAATGTTGGTGTGTCCCGCGCGCTAATATGACCTTATGCAGTTGCGAGCGTCGTAAAACACTTACAAAAAATAATAAGAGAGAGAGTGATAGAGAGAAAGAGTGAGAGAGAGAGAAAGAGAGAGAGGGAGGGAGAGAGAGAGAGAGAGAGAGAGAGAGAGAGAGAGAGAGAGAGAGAGAGAGACTTCCTAGTGTACATATTATCCACAGCTAAGGGCAAATAACAATAGATGTCTCAAGATAAACACACAGATCACTTAAAGTGATTTCTCTCACCTATGTCGTTCCTGCCCTGTTGTCAAACGACTGGGACACATAGTTAAATGAGTCTCAAAGATGTCCAAGTAATGCAATCCTAAGCATTAAAAGTGCCAGACATAATTTCCTAGCTTTCTTCAAACTCAAACTCACAAAATACCAAAGTCAAAACCCGTCTTTTAAAAGCACGAGTATCATTTTAGAAAGATGTTCGTCTCATGACTTTTGGTAGTTCCTCGTTGTTCATAAGAGAGATAACGTATCTCAACTGATTTGCGTATTCTCAGCAGATGTTGTGGAAAGAGGCACGCGTGAATTGCACAATCATTGTCGCTTAGTCCACTTTTGCAATTTTTTGGAATTGGAGTAAGTCATGCTAAGAAAAATATCGTTCCAATAACAAGCAGCTAGGGTTTGATGTAGATAGTTTCCAAAACGAACACAGTGTAATGCAAATCAAATCTTTAGCCATATTTGAGCTCTACATCTTTTCAAGTTGACGTAAAAACAGGTCTTTTTCAACGTCTTGGAGTGTAGTATATTATGTTACTTTAACCACTGATGGCGCGACACCGCTAGAGTAATCAACTATAAAAGGGAAAAAGATGGAAAAGTAAGCTGTTATTCCTGTTTTCAAAATTGACATTAAGCTTCAAAGTTCTTTATGGGAAAATATACTTATCTGAATGAATATAGTTAGGTAAACATTATTGAACACAATGCAGTCTACAGGGATACTACTGTTGTATCGGTGTTCTGTTGTGTTCATTTCCTTCGCACGGGTGGTTGGCGGGTGCTCTGGTGTGGTTTGCTCTGTCTTTCTTATCAAACATAACCCTCCTGTCCCGCCCTTCTTCAAATTTTACCACGACACAGCCTGAGGGTTTACTAAGTGTGGTGGGTGGCTCTACACCCTGAAGTACCAACTCGTGTCAAAATTAGGGATTTTGAGATGTAGGCATTTTCTGGCTTCTTCAGCCTCTCATACAACTATATCATGGCATACGAACACTATAGAGCCTTATTTTGTCACATATCAGACAAGTTAGTCTACATATTATAATATTTCTTCATTAAGTCTCTCTTTTATTTTTCTTTATCGTCCGTTTTCTTAAAACGCGGGTTTTCTTTATACTTTTTTGAATAACTCCACCATTTTTCTTCCAGTCTTCATGAAATTTTATAGAGTAAGAGAAAAAAATAAATCAGCATG